CATGGTTTCCTTTCACAATATAAAATGGTGTTACTGTGTATTTTCTGTTCTTTTCGACCGTTAAATTCACACAGCCCTTTACGTTTAATGCACTTCCCCCTCCGTATGGAAGTAAATTTGGCAGCCCTTTTGTTTTTATTTTAGGTTTTCCTAAGTAATCATACGTGGTTTCATCTAGTATATTCACACTTGATCCTGTGTCTATTGTAGCCGTAATCGTTTTATCGTTGACTTTTATCTGTGTTTTGGGCGTTTTTTGATCCTTTTTGTTTACCGACATTTTTCACTGTGATGTTTATAGAGGTACTCCTCTTCCGAATCGAACTGTAGCGAACTGCTGGCGTTATCGCTGACCTCTTTGACATGCTGATATTTCGGCGCTAAACAGCAGCGCGCGAAATGATTAGGTTTCTTGCATACATTGCAGGTTTTACCTGTGGCTGGGCACGGCTTATCTCTGTGCGGGAATTCATAACCACATTTTCTGCAAGTATTGGCTGACGCACCATCACGTGGTCTACTTCGTTGATTCGATTGGTTCTTCGGACCATATTTCCCACGACCTCCAAAATTTGCATACGACCCTCTACTGTTCCACGGCCATGAGGCATCGGCGCTCGTCCTCGTGTTCTACTATTGAACTTTGAAACCTTGTGTACAGATCTAGAATTTTCTGAATTTTCCATTGCGGATGCTTGCATATCTGATTGTTCAAACATACGTCCCATTGTAATAATGTCATCGAGCTTTTTATCTGGTTCACGTAACGCTCTTCTTCTGAGTTGATTTGAGCGGCCATGTTGTATCACTTGTTGTAAAATTTCATTGTCAATGTCTGCGAATGCACAGTTCTTTGCCAAAGTTCTTAACTCAGTCACATATTCATCAATCGTTTGTGCTTCTAATTGCTTGTATGATCTAAAGTTGTAAATTTCAATTTGAACGTTCTTTCTGGGAGCAAAATAGTCGCTAAGTACCTTTTTTGTTGCGTCATAAGTCGCTGCACTGTCCTTTTTCTCTACGTCATAGATGTCGTACACTTTTTCTCCGGCGTAATGTAGTAATAATGCTCTTCTCTGGTCAGCGTTTGATATTTTCATCCCCACAAATAAATTTTCGAGGCGCCCAATCCATTTCTCTCCAACGCGTGCCTGCATTGGATTTATCCGTTTCAAGATCAAAACTTGGAAATGCTGGTAAATTGTTCATGGTTAACGTCTTAATCCATCAATTAACACATGAAAAATATATCCAAATATTATATAAGTAATTCCGTTTTGTTTGTTTTTATCCTCGTCGCCAGATGATAAGTCCTAATGGTGGATATTAATTGATAACAACTATGTTTCTGCTTTAATCGTGTTTACTAAGGTTCCATGTTTTTCCGGAAGTCCCCGTATCATATTACATACAACATACATATATACTATGGTGGTCTCACATACATTATAACATTAGTCTATAGGACATCACAGGGGTACTTTATAGCTCATTTCTCCACCGTTGTATGATATATGACCCAACCATTTCCTATCCTTAAATACCTGTAAGAAAATAGCAGGGCATCTATTAGTCATTTACTTCTTGATTTTTGCTTTTGACTTACAAATTATAATGCTTTTCCTTCTCTACCTATATTATGTGATTTCCTATGTCAGACATTTTCGAAACTCTGACTTCCAAATTTTGGAACTTAATGGAAGCCCTGAAAATCACCGTAGGGAACGTGTTACAGTATCGCGTTTTTCGGTTACAGTATAGAATTTTCAAGATGGAGGATTATTTGTTGGGAAGAGAGGTAGGTGATTTTTATTCCGGTCCATACTACAAGTAGTTTAGTTTCTAAAAGATGTTTTTGTGCTTTGCTTGTAAGGAACAGAATCCGGTATCTAGTCATATATTTCTTCAGACCCTGCACCGCAGATTTATCGCTATATTGTCTCATTAATATGCATATTTGACAGTTTGAAAATTTGAATCGAGAGACCAACGCATTTTTCTGCAATTTCGACATTATTTATGCATGCCTAGAAAAAGTAAATCTGCAAAACGTTAGTCCTTTATGTTAGGAAACGTTTATAAAAGTAAATGACCAGTTGAACTTATTTTCCTGTTGGTAAAATGCGTTTGAAAAAATAAACAATGTTACAGAATAGAGCGACGTAATTTGTGCAGGGTTACAGCATAGACCTAGCGATTTGTATCCGATTTTGTTACAGTTTATACCCAGATTTCGGTTAAAGTTTAGGCTTCGATATTTTCTATATAATTATACTAGGTAAAATGTATGAATGTTACATAGACTTTTAAATCTCTGTGAGCTAATTGGCCCGATGGCTATTCGTCCGTCTGTCGTACACATGTGTGTGCAATCTCATCCGCTCATTAACTACTTGACTAAATGTGATGAAATTTACATGACTTTCTACCAATTAAGTTGTTCAAATGGTTTCGGTTGCAATCGGGGATACGAAAACCCAAAACATAGATTTTGTCAAAAGGCAATGTTTAATTAAAGACCCTTCTCATCTCGAACCAAAAGCATTCAAATCAAATCATGATCATGGCGTAATTTCGAATGCTTCTTTGTTGAAGTTACGATTATATTGTCTTTATTAAATTAAAAGTCGTTTTTTTTTCATTTCAGACATCCTGTATAGCAGATTTCATGTTTCTGAAAAAGAAAATAATATTGAAAATTATAGAGTATAAATTAAGGTCAGATAATTACAATATCTTCTCTAGTGAGCCTGATGGAGGTACATAATAGTGGCAGAGTCGGGATAAGGCCGTCGACTTCAAATTATGGAACGCCGTGACTGTCTTATGTGATCAATGTTTTTGCTATTTTGTGAAAGGATGATACTATTTTGTCGTTTAAGCATGTTAACATGTGCAATTTACATCATATCTTTTCAAAATACCACGCTCACTTGTTCAGCATGATTCTTTGACAAGACATGATGCAAATTGCACATGTTAACATGCTCAAACGACAAAATAATATCATCGTTTCACATGATAGCAAAAACAATGGTCACGTAAGACAGTCACGGCGTTCCATATCAAATCATCTTTCATTTACTGCTGTAGTCTAAATCCAATCATGACTTTGGATTCTTTGTATGTGAGGAATCTATCAAACTAATTTACGGAAGGTCGGTGGTTCTAGTCAGGCGCTCGTGTCTGAAATGTTTCACAAAGGGTATCTGGGGTCTTTCTTTACACTAAAGCAGGAATGTTTTTACATAACCTCAGTGTCGTTGAAACTTAAAATCCAAGAAAGCCAAACGTAACAAAATAGAGTTAAACAGAATTCCTAAAGAAATTCCAACACAACAAAATTGAAAATGTTCATAAACCCTTAAATTTTAAATACTTACAAAATACATTATGATAGATTGAAATTCCAACTTAAAATAGAATTTAAGGTTGCAGTTTTGCTCAGTTAAATACTGTTTAATCATCTTAGGGTATTGCCTGCTTGTTAATTGTGTCTTTTGACAGCTTATCTATGGTATGCAGGCTTCATAACCTCTGATACCCTCTCAAAATTTCATTTTGTTTAGTTTCACTCATTGTATTCTCGTTTAGGGCACACGCAATTTCTAACCTGGGGGGGGGGGGGGTGTAATATGCCGCATTTCATAGAATGGCAATAATGGTGTTTTCTTTTTGGTATTTTGTGTATCGGATGGTGTTTGAATTGTTCTTTAAATTATAATTTTTTCAACATTTTAGTATAATATAAGGTATCCACACAAGGCAGCACCGGTCTTCATGGGTCGTTGTAGAGTTTTAGTTCACTAACTGAAAGTTTAATTAAAGATTTTTCATCAATCTAATATAGAATTCTCTTTAAAACTGTTTAGATGACAACATTAATACAAAGCCGGAAGACTTAATGCGTTTTTTGTATTTTTACCTACCATTAACCTCTAAGGTGAAACCCCCACAGTTTCCATTTCTTGAAGCATTTATATTTAGGGTCATGTCCAAAACGGTATGTTGAGTGGTGTACAACTACTTAAGATCTTTGCTTCTATGACATGTCAGAAAATTCAGGCCCCCGGGATTTTTTTCCACTTAAACTATTAATTCTAAGGTTTGATTTATTTAGGACATGATTTAAAGCGGACAGGTTTAATTTTTAATACCACTGTTTCATTTAATTTAATGTTTTCTGTTTACTTCTTATTGTCATTATACCACTGCAGATGATAGCTGATTTATTTTCCGACTGTGCCCGCATATCAAACCTATTAAATTTTAAACGGATTTTTAAGAAACTATGCATATATGTTTACATATAAAACATGTATTGATTGTTCAAGACATTTGATAATGTATGTTTGGTCTGGTTGACATCGTCTTTTAACTTAGCATGTTATCATACAGGCTGAAGACATGTTTAAAATCCAGCTCCTTAATATAGCTACTGGTATCATCGTTTCTTAAGTTTATCAAACACGATGTCATCCTCAGCTATAATTGTAACATACACATTCATATTTAGTTTGCTAATTGCCACCACCAGTTAGAAACCGTCGTTCACTGTAAGAAGAATGGTCAATTTCATCCTACATATAAACTCACTAATGGGCCCCACAGAGAAGACGCAGCTATCAGCAGCCAGTGGTCATAACGAGGCATTAGCAGCTACGGTCAAGACGTATAATTGTTCTTAATTAAAGTAAAGCCTGTCGTATTTTTCACAAGTTTAAATTATTATAGTGTAATTATTTAGGACTAACAAGTGTTTCATTTGTGGATATTAATTAAGCAGTTAAGAAAGTGTGATAAGAGGTATGTTTTAATTTATTTGTATATATTTATTTTAAGTTTATACTTAAAATCGTTTAATTTTTTGTCAAAAAAAAAAAAAAAAAAAAAAAAAAAAAAAAAAAAAAAAAAAAAAAAACCTCGTATATGTTTGATGTCTGAACACCACAGGACAATATATACATTTGTAGTTATACATTTTATAAACAACAATATTTATTAGCCAATTTTGTCTGAACACTGCTGCCAAATACGAAAAAAAAAAAGAAAAAAATGTCTGAACACCACAGGCAAAACAAGATACAGTGTTCGTAATCATGCTTATCCAAACACCATGGAAAAGCAAAAATTGTCTGAACACCACAGACAAAAGACTCATTTGTTCGTAATGAAATCCATCCTTATCCAAACACCATGGAAAAGCTAAAACTGTCTGAACACCACAGACAAAAGATACATTTGTTCGTAATTATGCTTATCCAAACACCATGGAAAAGCTAAAACTGTCTGAACACCACAGACAAAAGATGCATTTGTTCGTAATTATGCTTATCCAAACACCATGGAAAAGCTAAAACTGTCTGAACACCACAGACAAAAGATACATTTGTTCGTAATTATGCTTATCCAAACACTATGGAAAAGCTAAAAACTGTCTGAACACCACAGACAAAAGATACATTTGTTCGTAATTATGCTTATCCAAACACCATGGAAAAGCTAAAATGGTCTGAACATTACAGACAAATTATATATTTGTTTGCAATAGGGCGTGTTCATGCAACATGACATACATAATAATAATAATAATAATAATAATAATGATAATAATAATAAAAAAAAAATCAGGCGTCTTGCATATCACAGAGGGACGAATTAATGATTTATGTAGATATCTATTTCACGGCGTTATTTACGCCTGACTGCGATTAAATTCTAATCGTTTATATATGTTTCTTCTTCATTTTATTGCTTAAATGGACTGCTGCTAGAAATGTTTTAAAAAACATTTTTCAGGATCATGGCCGACGATCAAGAGGTCGGAAACAACCAGTCCAATATTCCAATATATTTGAAAAATTCGGGACACTTGCAGGATCTTCTAGTCAGTTAGAAGACATCCAAAATGCAATAAAAGGTTTAACGGATTCTCTGACTGAAATGAGGTCTGACGTAAATTCTTTGAAAAGAACTGCAGTTACCTGCGAAGAAACATCAACTTCGAAACGTTTTTGCACGAGGGATGATTCAGGCTCAGATCACGAAAGCGTGGGAGATTTTTTCACCGAATCTGGGGTCACCGACGGAAATGATGATGATGATGATGATGAATTCTGCATGGTGGATTTCTTCGAGGATGCCTCAGAAACAGGAGCGGCGATAAGTTACAAACTAGCCACTTTGAGCAATAAAGCTTTGCAGGTACAACCGAAAGAAGAAAAAATAAAGGAACTTTTGGACACACACAAGAGGCCTAACAATGTAGAATTTCTACAAGTACCTTTGGTGAATGAGCAGTTGTGGCGACAGTTGCCATCTCGAGTTAAAGCACAGGATTTTCTGTTGCAGAGGACACAAAAAATTTTTTCGTCTGCTTTGGTACCGGTATTGAAGACCATGGATGAGTTAAAGACAGATGGACGACCAAAAATGAAAGAGTTGATTGGGGATACTTTCAAACTGTTAAACAATGCTTTTGTCACTACTTCTCAGATGAGACGTGACAGGATAAAGAAAGAACTTCTCCCGCTTTATAGGCCAATTTGTTCAGCAAACCAATCTGCCACTCATCTGTTTGGCGATAAAGTAGATGAAGAACTTAAAAAGTTAAGGGACAATAAGCAGCAACTTACATGTACTTCCAGGCGTTTCTTTTTTAGGGAAACGCCAGGGCATGGCGACCCTGGTACCTCAGCACAAACGGAAACATGCGCTCAATTCACAGGGCAACATGAATTTCAATCTACAGCGACGACGTCAAAATCACAATTACAGGACAAAACAGCAGAAAAAGAATACTTTCCAATCAAGAGCACAGAAAAATTAATATCCGAAGTAAGTAATCATAATATGAAATATTCCTCTACTATTATAAATACTTCACAGAATTTTCGGGCGGCGAAGACCAGAATGGCGTTGAATGAGTGGAGAAAAATAACCAAAGATAAATGGATACTAGAAACTGTAGACGGTTATCGGGTACAGCTGTCAGCAACTCCTTTTCAGTATAAAATTCCAAAACCATTTAATTTTAAAGAAAACGAAAAACATGCAATACAGTTTGAAATTACACGGTTTTTAAATCAAGGAATAATAGAACTTGCAGACGAAAACTTGGACGGAGAATACATTTCGAATATATTCACAAGACCAAAATCAGACGGACGGATTAGAATTATTTTGAATTTAAAATCTTTCAAATAGCAACTACGTCAGCAAAATACATTTTAAAAATGGAAACTTTGGGTCAGTGACCACAGCAATGAGGAAAAATTGTTATTTCGGCAAGGTCGACATTTTCTGATGCTTTTTACACTATACCTATATACGAACGGGACAGACGGTATTTTTGTTTCTTTTTCGAAGGTGTAAAATATCAATTTACAGCGCTTGTGATGGGATTTGCAAAAAGCCCTATGATATTCACTAAACTGATGAAGCCAGTTTTTTCTCATTTAAGAGCGCGGGGTCATTTAAGTTCAATTTACATCGACGACGCATGTTTGCAAGGTCAGTCATACTCCGCCTGTGCTCGAAATATCAGCGAAACAATTGATTTATTAGACAAGTTAGGATTTACAATTTCAATGGGTAAATCTGTCCTGGTTCCGTCGAAAAAGATTGTATTTTTGGGATTTGTGCTGTGCTCTAAAACAATGACAATAAGATTAACAAAGGAAAAATGTGATGATATCACAGAGCTTTGCAATAACATAATAACATGCCGGCGAATAACAATTCAAAAATTTTCAAAGATTATTGGAAAACTGGTTGCAGCATCACCGGGGGTTATGCATGCTCCGTTGTACATAAAACCTTTAGAACGACATAAGGAAAGGGAACTGAAAAACCATAAGGGTAATTTTAATATTTTTTTTACAATCACGCCAGATATTTTGGAAAATTTGCGATGGTGGATCACTCATATACATTCATGTTTCAAAAGTATTACATCGCCTGACCCGAATAACATTATGTTTACTGATTCTTCGGGACATATGTGGGGCGCGTATGATAAAACAGAAAATAGACGAACAAATGGTTTTTGGTCGGCGGAAGAACAAAATCAACATATCAATGTGTTAGAATTAAAAGCGTGTCAAGTTGGGCTATTGTCGCTTTTTAAACACAACAGAAATATCTATATAAAAATTTATATGGATAACACTACGAGTGTATCATACATAAATAATTACGGGGGAAGAATAGATTCATTGAATAAAATTGCGCGCGATATCTGGCATTGGTGTATTCAAAGAAACATTTTGTTGTCAGCACATCATATATCGGGGTCATTGAACCGCACGGCAGACAAACTGAGCCGTCCTGGAAATGAAGATTTAGAATGGAGTATATCACCTGAGATGTTCACAGCAATTTGTCGGTCTTTCCCGTCCTTAAATATAGATTTATTTGCATCTCGCTTAAATAACAAGTTTCCGACGTATGTTTCAAGACAACCTGACCCAAATGCTTTTGCTATAGCACTTTTTCATTCTCATGGCATGATAATTGTTATTATTGTTTTCCACCTTTCAGTGTAATAGGCAGGGTCCTGCAAAAAGTAGAAATAGATCAAACAGAACTACTGTGTTTAGTAGCACCAATATGGCCTGCACAGACATGGTGGCCGACATTAATACAACTTATTGTTGCACCATGCCTTCTACTTCAGCACCCTCAGGACATCCTTACGTTGTGCCATCGACCGGGAAAGAAACACCCATTAAAAAAGATGAGGCTAGCGCTTTTTCCCTTATCAGGAAAGCGCTTGAAGATAGAGGGATTTCAAATGAAGCTCAGCAGATATCATTAATTCGTGGCGGAGAACAACCAGGAGACAGTATCAAACATATCTTAAACAATGGTTTCATTTCTGTGAAAGGAAACACGATCCCTTTAAACCCCTTGTAGCAACAGTGATAGCATTTTTGTCTCACCTATATTCAAAAGGGATAACCTACAGTGCGATTGGTATTGCCAGATCAGCAATTTGTGGGTTTGTTAAGATAACTTCAAACGTAGATCTCAGCAATAATAACCTGATATCACGGTTCATGAAAGGTGTATTTAACACAAGGCCGGCACTTCCGAGATATAAAGAGATATTGGATGTGCGAACAGTTTTTAGATTTTTTATCAAAAACAGAAAATGATACATTATTATTTTTGGCTGGAAAATTAAGCATGTTGTTTTTATTGTTCTCAGCTCAGCGGTGTCAAACACTCCATCTCATTTGTTTGGAAGACATTAATATTTCAGACGAAAGATTGATAATAAACACTCCACATTTATTAAAAACATCGAAACCTGGTCGGCAGCAGACACCCTTTTTGTTTGACAGTTTTAAATCAGATAAACGCTTGTGTATTGTCAGCGTCATTAGTGAGTATTTACAGAGAACGAAAGACCTCAGAAATACCAATAAATTACTGATATCAACGGTCAAGCCTCATGGGGCCGTTTCAAAACAAACAATTTGTCGCTGGATTAAGCTAATTATGCACAGAGCTGGGGTGCATAAATCATTCAAACCACATAGCACGCGCGCTGCTGCGTCTTCAATCGCACACATGCGTGGAGTCCCGTTACAGACGATAATTGAATCAGCGGGATGGAGCAATGCTCAGACATTCGCTAAATATTATGATAAACCAGTATCAAATACCAATGGAAAATCTATGCAGGCTATCATAGATATTGCTAATTAGAGTGTATAATAATGGGACAAAAAAAAAAAAAAAAAACTGTAGTGATAATAATAATTATAGCTATATTTAATTACTTTCTATATAGTTGTGCGTGGCATTTATATTCTGTAAAAATATGAAAAACATGTGTTTTTACCGAATTGCAGAATACATAAAGACCTTTATGTCTTGAAATTAAATCGTTGTTCTTCATAATAACATGAAAGATAAATATTTACTATGGCGTTGGATGGCACGTAATGTCCTTTCCAAAATATCGCAAAAAGGACTCTAAAATCTCTGTGGGGCCCATTAGTGAGTTTATATGTAGGATGAAATTAAATGATTAAGCTAGACTTACCTGTAAGGTGAAGGTTAATCATGATTTCATCCACATAAAACTCACTAAGGGCTCACACACCCAACCCGCTACCTCCCCGTTTAAACTGATATTTTTGCGATATTATTCGGCATTACTTACTCTAAAATATGACCACTGGCTGCTGATAGCTGCGTCTTCTCTGTGTGAGCCCTTAGTGAGTTTTATGTGGATGAAATCATGATTAACCTTCACCTTACAGGTAAGTCTAGCTTAATCATTTAATTTATCTGAATTTGTAAATTTACCACTGGTAGGCATGTCAGTCGTTGAAGTCTATGATTTTGCATCGATTTCCAATGACATTTTGTCCCATATATTAGCATTCGGTCTTGTATTGTTTCTCATGGCCATGTCAAACGTTGTGCCGCTGCAGACAGCTGCTTTATGACTTTTTGTTGTTTTTTTTGTTGCTTGTCTTTTGCTTTTCATTATGCCTTTTTTCTAGACATACCAGTACTTTAACCAGTTTCTGATTGCTACTTCAAGTAACATATTGTTAGTTTGTTACCTCTTTCATCATCAGATATACTACTATGTACTGAATCTGTATGATTTGTAACGTTGGCGTTAGTGTGTTTTTTAAGTGAAACGTTAAAATACAAATGTACTGGACAAAAAGATCATTCTCACAAATAAAATATTGCCGGAATGATAACACAAAGTCCAAGGTTTCATTACAAAATAACATTTGAGCCACGCCATGACAAAACAATCATAGTGCGTCTGCGACCAGCATGGATCCAGACCAGTCTGCGCCAGGCTTAATTCTGTTCGCGTACAAAATCCTTTTACACGTAGAGAAACTGATAGCACTATGTTTGTTTTGTCATGGCGCGGTTCAAATATTATTTTGTAATGAAAGGAATTTGTTTTATCATTTCGTCAATGTTTGTTACAATGTGTTTTGTTTTGTCATGGCGCGGCTCATTTGTTTTCAGATTTTTTTTATTCCAAATGAAATATGATGTGTAATGCTTTAAAACACAGATTTAACTTTCCAAAGCTCTGTTCCATACTAATTTTTTTCTCTTGACATGCTTCACATTATTATACAACTATTTTCATGATTTTTCCGCATCAAATGTTAAATTGGTTTCCTAGTGGTTTTGCAATTCAAATGTATCGTGTAAAGGCCGGTTGATGTTAATAAAATTTAATGCGCATCCATTACAAAGCCTGAAGGGGGTTTGATTACTAGTATTTCTGTTATGCTCATTAAATATTTGTCACACCATTGTTATGTTCTGATCGTATTTCACAAATATTTGTCACACCATTGTTATGTTTTGATCGTATTTCACAAATATATAAGATTCGTATAGAGTGGCATTTTGCGTCGTGACAATAGCAAGACAAATTGTTATAGTTCGGTAAAAAAAAAAAAGAAACCAATATGTTATAAATTGTTTACAGATTGCACAGATTTAGCTGCTCAAAACATATTTGATTTGGTCTGAAGAGAGTTTCTAAAATATTCATATGAAATTATGAAACTAATAATAAAACAAATACGAGCTCGTATTTCATTATAGAATGATAACAATTATCTCTGCATTTAGTCAAGCACTTTGCATATATGGGGCGTTTTATTAGCTCACCTGAGCACAAAGATCTCAGAAGTGAGCTTTTTGGTTGGTACTGTGTCCGTCGTTCGTTGTCCGTCGTTGTCCACAACCACTTGATGGAATTTTGTCAAACTTTACTTACAGGAATGATCATTAGTTGGTCCTCTCAGAAACTACAATGCCAAGAATATAGATGTTTGGCATGTAGCATCACCTTATGGTCATGTACAATAAAGATCTTGCCCCTGGGGTAAAAAATGGCCCCGCCTTAGGGTCACATTTTTGCAAAGACTTGTATAATAAATAAATTGTCTCAAATATCTTCTCTCTGAATGAAAATTCCAAGAGCTTAGATATTTTACATGAATCATCACCTTGTGTTCCTGTACAAAAGTTATATTAATCATGCCCTTTCGGTTAAATTGGTCCCGCTCTGGAGGTCTCTTAGTTAAAATAGACTTGTAAAGGAAATACTTGTAAGTCTTCTTTTTGAAAATACAATGTCAATAGCTTAGATATTTAGAAAGTAGCATTGCCTAGTGGATCTCTACAAAGATTGTATTAGTAATGCCCCTGGGGTCAAAATTTGACGCGTTCTGGGTGTAACTTATTTTACATAGACTTGTAAAGTAAAACTGTCTGAAAATTTTCTTATTTGAAATGGCAATGCCAATATCAGATATTTTGCTTGTAGAATCACTTTGTGGTGTTCTACTAAGGCTATATAAATCATGCCCCTTGGGTCAAAATTGGCCCTGTCCCGGTGTTACTTAATTCATTTTGACTTGTTTAGGGAATTACCTTTAAGTCTTCTTTTGTGAAAAAAAAACACTTCCAAGACCTTAGAAATTTAACATGTAGCATTGCCAAGTAGACAGCTACAAATGTTGTTTATGTCATGCCCCTTTGGTTAAAAATGACAACTCAATGGGGATCACTTATTTTACAATTATGTAGTCAGGAGAAAAAAAGACAAACCCAATATGTCTTCATTACTGGCTTTATCCTTTCTAGCAATGTATCTCAGGTGAAAGATTCAGTGCCATCATGACCCTCTTGTCAAATTTTATGAACTGAAAGACTAAACACATTCACATTGCTTTGCCGGTAATAACTTGATAGTTTGTGCAAAGGCAACATGAAGAAATATTGCTTAAATATCTGTTTGTTTCTTTTAGAAGGCTTTGTTATACTTATAGCCAGTCAAAACATACAGTTTACAAAGTTTACGAAAAAAACCGATTTGGAAGGGTTTACTTGTCCCACAATGAATAAGGATTTTAAAGAAGATAAGTTGAATAAAAAGCAGTGTCTTATAACATGTGCAGATAGCTCGTCGTGTTTGGGCGTTTTCCACGATGAAGCTAATATGCACTGTGTGGGGTGCAATCACAAATTTCTTACCAATTCATCCGCCCCATCTCTGGATGGAATGAAGTACCACTTTAAGCAAAGTAAGTAATTATTAGATTTAAGTTACTTAGTGTAAGGAAGAATAAGTTTGATATTTCTAGAACTTGTAGTTGTATTCTGTAAGTTGAGTTAATGCTGACATCGTATCGTGATAAAAACGGTTATTGGAATTAGAAATTGTTCGTTGACTTTTGGTCCAAATTATTTCTTACTTAATTATAGGGGTGCACACTTACTTATTTGGGGGCATCCATGGCAGAGTGGTTAAGGTCGTTGACTTCAAACCACTTGCCCCTCACCGCTGTGGGTTCGAATCCCGACAGGGACTTTGGATTCTTTCATGTGAGGAAGCTATCCAGCTAGCTTACGGAACGTCGGTGGTTCTACTCAGGTGCCCGTTCGTGCCTGAAATAATGCACGGAAGGGCACCTGAGGTCTTTCTCCACCAGTAAAGCTGGAACGTCGCGATATGACCTATACTGTGTCGATGTGACGTAAAAACCAAAAACAAACAAAACTTAATATTTATTTATGCATTTATTTATTTATAATTTAATAAATATGTCATTTTGCAGGCTATTACAGGCAGATTTAATTAAAATCCATATCTGTCATACCAGACTGTTAAACATTTGTACGTGTTTTGAAGATTTCATTCTTATTATTATTATACCCCCGCACAACGAAGTTGTAAGGGGGGGTATACTGGAATCAGCTTGTCCGTCCGGCAATCCGGACGTCTCCCCGTCCGTCCGTCGGTTTTTCCTTGTCAGCCCAATAACTTGAGATTCCTTTGGCCCACCATCTTCATATTTGGCATGGAGGTTAGTCATGATTAGTAGATGGCCCCTAGTGATTTTGGGGTCACTGGTTCAACGGTAAAGGTCACAGGCGCCTTGACTTTAAAAAGCTTGTCAGCCCAAAAACTTGAGATTCCTTTAACCCACAGTCTTCATATTTGGCATGGAGGTTAGTCATAATTAGTAGATTCCTATTGGTTTTGAGGTCACTTGGTCAAAGTGCAAGGTCACAGGGACCTTGATTTAAAAAAAGCTTGTCTGCCCAATAACTTGAGATTCCTTTGACCCACAGTCTTCATATTTGGCATGGAGGTTAGTCATGATTAGTAAATGACCCCTATTGATTTTGAGGTCACTGGGTCAAAGGTCAAGGTCACAGAGGCCTTGACTAAAAAAACATGATTTTCACATTTGAAGCATGGATAATACATATCTTAGCAATGCACTAGCTTAGTAACCTCAGATTTGGCAGAGTGGTTGTCCTTACTTCTAAATGGCCACTGTTGATTCTGACAAAGTGGTATTCGGGGGTATTCACGCCATGACAGTGGCACTTCTAGTTCATTCAAGAAACGGTTGAAAACTTTTCTTAATCAACCATGCGTTAACTGTAACTTCCGTTGTGCGCATTTTCTTAAAAACATATTTTGTTCAATCAACCATGCGTAAATTGTAACTTCCGTTGTGCGCATTTTCTTTTCAACAAATTGCCTTCAATCAACCATGCGTAAATTGTTATTTCCGTTGTGCGCAATTTCGTTTAAACATATCTTCTTCAATCAACCATGCATTAATTGTAGTTCCGTTGTGCGCATTTCCGTTTAAACATATATGCGCTTTTTTGTTAAAATATAGTTTATTTCAAACAAGTTCACAGCACATATACAAATGATAACTTACATTATCTTATTTTATAGTTTTATTCTGCTAAATGTCTATGCCTATAGAATACGCTTTTAAAAATGAGATAGAATAAGAATAACAATTCATATTTGCTATTTACATGTCAATATAATTAAGGTGATTTTCCGGAAATTCGGTATACCCATGTCGGACCGTATATGTCACGGAACGTATATGTCACACGTGTGGGACATATTCGGCCGAATTAATAACAGATGTTTTTAATTTATGTGCCATATACGTTTCTGAAATTTGGTAGTAAATGCCTGACCGTATATGTCACACATTCTACACAGTAAACTAACATTATCATCACCGTTTTAACCTAGCTTCAACAACGTTAATAATACATCATCATCATCATCAACAACAACAACATCATCATCATTATCACCAATGATACATCATCATCGTCATCGTAAGTTTGTAATATATTTGTTTAAAACCATGCCGCCTTGTTTATCATTTTACCAGTGAGACGACACTGTGTCAATACACAGTGACTGGCTTTGTCGAAAATATGTTCGAAATATTTTGGACATTAATATTTATCGACTTGAAGATAAAATACAGTAAAGTTCCGCTTAACGACCGGTCCGAAAATACGACCAATTCGATAATACGGGCAGTTTTTGAAATAACCAATTTTTTCTCTGCATATTTCAATGGTCGGAAGGTCCGATTATACGACCGGTCCGCTATTATTCCGTATTACGACCACTTTCAAAAGAACCGACAGGTTAAATATTGTTGATTAATGTCCCCTAAATGCGACCACGTGTCGAGTGTTTCAAGTTTCAAGTTTTTATTTCAACTAGGCCCATATGGGCATCAGTTTTATAAACAGTAAAATTTCACAAACAAATGAGCATTAACAAAATAATACAGATGTGTAAATAAAGCTTGAGACAAAATAATTTGCATGATAAATACAAAAATAAGACTAGAGATACTTAAATTATGAATGACTTTACAAATGAGTGACTAGAATGAGACATAATGCAACCGCACAATGAAAGTTCCTGACCAAAACGCAAATGAAGTGATGCAGCGACATGGTGTAACCACAACATGGGGCCCATGAAGCCCCACACTGCAACCACACCACGCCGGTACAATTAGTTCCACAAAAATTAAAAAGGAAGTGTCACAATGCGATTACAAATGTCATGAGACCTTAAAGATGAAAAAATAACAAAAAATTAAATAAAATACATAAAAATAGATGATAAACACCGACCGTTATATTTTACGGCATTAGCTGTGAACGGTTTTCGACACCCGGAAGAGAATGTGTGAATTACAATTTTGGCAATTTGCACACTTACAATTTAATTGCTATCGATTATTCGTTTAATGTGGATTAAATTATTGGAAAATCAGATGGAGCTGGTTGATGTGTTGAATCGGCACAGGTGCAAATTGATAGATAACTGGAGTAACAGCAATTTGTTTTTGTTTGAAGCAATTCAAACCATTGAAAACATTAGAATGTACTGTTTAAGTAAAGAACTTACAGATGTTGTTAACTTGTTCGAAAAGGATTCAGTGAAAACTTTAGGGTACTCTTAACAAACAACAATTGACAGATTTTTTAAGTAAGGTGATGTGTCTATGACTCACATGAAATGTATAGTGATATGTAAAAGGACTGATATGAGATAAAAAGAGACTTCTGACTTTCACATGTATAATGTATATTTTCCATTTTGAATAATGTACCAGTTTTAATGGTGTTTATGTAAAATTAAAATACATCAAATAGCTTTAATTAGTTATTTATACAATGTGTCATTTATCTGCCAGTAAAACAGTTTAAAACAGTGACAAACATGTCTGCCTATCATTCTTATGTATTAACCACTGATATTGAAGGTATATGTGCCTTACTAGTGTGCTATAACCTAGGGTCTCAATAAAGAGACCGACTCGATAATAAGACCACCTTTTGCTAGACCCACAAGTGGTCTTAATAGCGGAACTTTACTGTATTGACTTTTCATGCCCCTGCTCTGAGGGGGAGGGGACGGAGGGGCTGGATTTAAACGATTTAATTGTCCGTACGCCTGTGCCTGAGTACGTGCGTCTTTGGTGTTGCCCCATTAATAATTTAGTTAGGGGTCGAACGTTGATTCAGGCAGTCATTCCAGAGTTATTGCCCTTGACTTTGTCAAATAGGAAACAGTCAACTTGTGTCGTGTGTAGCATCAACAGTATTTGAACTAGAGGCATGGTCATGAAACTTGTAAGTCTATCTTACGCGCACAAAGCGCGATTTTGACATATTCTTTACAAATGGCGTTATACCACTAAATAAAATTTATTATTTTACGCTGTGACTTAGATATGAGCAACATCAAAACTTTTTAATCACGAAAACACGATTTTTGAACATTTTCATAAATCATTTTCTTCACGCTGCAAACCAGATGTGAAATTTTACAGCGGAGATAGTATGATTGGCGTTCTGTTCACTCCACATTTATAACTTGCTCCTTAAAAAGTTATGTTTTGCCTAAAACAATCATGGCCATTTTCGAAATGACGATTGAACGCGTTGAAGTTGTTTGACATACTTTAACAAGCATTTCACCGTAACAAGTTTAAAGGGAAAGGCAATGTTAGAATCAAAACTTGATATCAGAAACAGAATACTATCAATAGTAAATCTGCAAATTTTCTGCCTTCAAATAATAATATTAAACGAATAATACAAAATTTAAATCGCTAAATCACCGATTTCTACAAATCAGTAGGCGCGGCAACAACTCAACGGTCTACCGGTCGCACCACTTCAGAACAGTGATGCCTGTTACTCCAAACAATTCTACGTTCATTAAATTCTCATCTTAATGTGATTAAACAATATTTCACATATTTAGTAAATACACATGTTATTATTTAACAAAGTTTCACAATCAAATAATGCAATTAAACAAACAAACAAACAAACGCACAATGGAATAATTTGAAAAAAGAAGATTCACAAAGTAAAACGATTTAAGTCATGCATGACGCCATGCCCCTCTTTGAGTTTTTACGAACTTCTATTTCGGAGAGGTCTAAACCCGGTGCACCGTGATTTTCTTGCCGAATATGTGTGATTTTTTAAGATAGAGGGAAAAAACTAAACAACGAGAAGTTTGAAAGAAAATTTTTAATATTTTTACCTAATTAATTTTTATTTGTGATACCAAAATTATTATACCCCCAAAAACGAAGTTTGGGGGGGGGTATATAGGAGTCACCCGGTGGTCGGTCGGTCGGTCGGTTGGTCGGTCGGTCGGTCGGTCGGTCCAGACGTCCGTTGCATTTTCCTTGTCCGGAGCATAACTTGAAAACTAATGATTGGAATTCAATATAACTACATACAATGGTCAAGCACATTGAGAGGAAGTGCAGTGCACAAGAACCAAAACTCTATCTTGACTAATTACAGAGTTATTGCCCTTTGTTACTTTTCCTTGTCCGGGGCATAACTTGAAAACTACTGGTTGGAATTCAAAACAACTTCATACAATTGTCAAACACAATAAGGGGAAGTGCAGTGCACAAGAACCATAACTCTATCTAAAGTAATTACAGAGTTATTGCCCTTTGTTGCTTTTCCATTGCTTTTTTTTTGTCCGTTGCATTTTCCTTGTCCGGAGCATAACTTGAAGACTAATGGTTGGAATTCAATATAACTACATACAATGGTCAGGCACATTGAGAGGAAGTGCAGTGCGTAAGAAACATAACTCTATCTTGACTAATTACAGAGTTATTGCCCTTTGTTACTTTTCCTTGTCCGTGGCATAACTTGAAAACTATTGTTTGGAATTCAAAACAACTTCATACAATTGTCAAACACAATAAGGGGAAGTGCAGTGCACAAGAACCATAACTCTATCTAAAGTAATTACAGAGTTATTGCCCTTTGTTGCTTTTCAATTGCCTTCTTTTTTTGTCCGGAACATAACTTGAAGACTAATGGTTGGAATTCAATATAACTACATACAATGGTCAAGCACATTGAGAGGAAGTGCAGGGCATAAGAACCATAACTCTATCTAAAGTAATTACAGAGTTATTGCCCTTTATTACTTTTCCATTGCTTTCTTTTGTCCGGACCATAACTTGTGAAATAATTGTTGGAATTCATTATAACTTCATACAATGGTCCAGCACATTGAGAGGAAGTGCAGTGCACAAGAACCATAACTCCATTTTGACTTATTACAGAGTTACTGCCCTTTGTTTCTTTTCCTTGTCCAGAGCATGACTTTGAAACTACTGGTTGGAATTCAAAACAACTTCATACAATGGTCAAGCACAATAAGGGGAAGTGCAGTGCACAAGAACCATAACTCCATCTTGACTAATTACAGAGTTATTGCCCTTTGTTACTTTTCCATTGCTTTCTTTTGTCCGGACCATAACTTGAAGACTTATTGTTGGAATTCATTATAACTTCATACAATGGTCAAGCACAATAAGGGGAAGTGCAGTGCACAAGAACCATAACTCCATCTTGACTTATTACAGAGTTATTGCCCTTTGTTACTTTTCCTTGTCTAGAGCATAACTTGAAAACTACTGTTTGGAATTCAGTACAACTTCATACAGTTGTCAAGGACATTCAAAGGAAGTGCAGTGCACAAGAGCCATAACTCCATTTTGACAAAATACAGAGTTACTGCCCTTTGATACTTTTCCTTGTCCGGAGCATAACTTAAAACGTACTGGTTGGAATTCAAAACAACTTCATACAATGGTCAAGCACAATAAGAGGAAGTGCAGTGCACAAGAACTATAACTGTATCTTCAGTATTTATAGAGTGTTTGCCCTTTGTTCTTTTTCTTTGTCTTTCTGGACTTATTACAAATTAATTCAATTAAACTTCATCAATGGCCAACCACATTGAAAGGAAATGCAACATACATGAACCACAATTATCTTTAATTGCCCACAACCATAACTCTATGTTTCAATTCTTTTACAAGGTATTCTGTTACTAGTAACATTCTCATTTCCGAAGCAGACTTGTGGGGGTATTAATCACATTTGGTGATAGTTCTAGTTATTATTATTTTTTTAAAATATAAGTTAGAATTATTATTATTATTATTATTTTAAATATAAGTTAGAAGGGACGCCGTGATTTCCTTCACTTTATTGAGAAATACGGGAGAGAGAGAGAGAGGGTTTTATACATGTCCGTACATTTCCGTAACAGAAGTTCGTAAATACTCAAAAGAGATGAGGGAGCGTCATGCATGACTTAAAATCGTTTAACTTTGTGAATCTACTTTTGTCATATTGATAAACATGCTACTGTTTTAACGTACTGTTGTATTCTACAAATGGAAACACGTTTTCTTAAACTCTATTTTCTGTATTCGAGTTTTTCATTTCTTTTATAAATATATCACAGGTACAGATAGATATCAGATAAGTGTGCAAACGTGCTTATGTATTGTATGCAATGGAAGATACGAACTTGTAAATTTGTTGTTGTTTTCCATGTTTAGTCGGTTGTTAAGATCTACGTGTAAACGTGTTATTTAAAAGAGGGTGCCTTCAATTAAAAGATTGGATTAAGAGGCATATCATTTGCTGTGCACGAATACAATTAAAAAAGCTAGACAAACATGTTCGCATTTTCAAAAGTAGATTTCAAAAGGAACACTTTACATATCTGGAATATTGGCAACGAACGCCCTCCATAGGGTAGTGGTGATCAAATGGTTAAGATGTTTGCCCAAGGATTGTGGGTTCGAGCCTTGCTCAGGTCATGCCTATGCTTCCTAATTTGATACCAGTACTGTTTTGTTCCAGGAAGCGGTCTCAAAAGTGATTAATATAAGTTGCAAAAACATGTTTCGCAACCGAGCATAAATAAATGTGTTTAAACAAATAGCTTGTAGATTTGTTAAGGGCCCTTGACTCTTTTTTTTTTGGTCAGGCAGCTAGAAATAAAAAAAAACAGCATTTTTATGCAAGACGAATGCTCTTGTTTACAGGGATATTGAAGTACGATACTCACAAAATATGTTTTGCGCTTATTTGGTGTATATTTGTTTATTTTGTATTTTTTTAAAAATTCGATGAAATATTTGTTTATTATACGCTTTTAAAATATTCTGTGAAATGTTTGTTTATTAAACACTTGTGATGATGATAATGATAATGCTGCTGCTGATGATTGTGATGAAGATGGCGGTTGTGGTATTTACGATTCCGTCATTAGGTATTTTTAAAATAAACAGTATTGTGCAAAACGGATTTATTTAAGTAAAGAAAATGCTCATGTGACGTATACGTTCGTATTTTCATTTTTATGTTCATTTTTGATGAGTGACAAATACGTTTTGGTGAGCATAGAAAAACTCAATCCAACCGAATAAGGCACATTTAATGTTCCATATTTGGCTCAAGAGTGTGCCATATTTGACCGAATATGTCACACGTCTGACAGATTGGAACCGAACATGTCACACGTGTGCCATTATTCGGTCCGTGACATATACGATCCGACACACCCACACAGGAATGTTTCATATGTACGTGTATATTTTATTTCAGGGTACTTGCTAGTCACTGAAGGGAAAACACGGGGCAATGCAAGTGTAAGCATAACTTCTCTAACTTTGTATTCTTAAACGATTACTAAATTATGTTCGCTTGTTGAACGATTTCAACCATGTCTGACTGACTTCAGATTTGGATTATTCAGTTTCGGCCCTTTTTACAAGAAAGTAGCTAGCTCCCATTGTCTCTTTATTTTTTTTAGGTAATTTAGAAATGGGCCTTAAGGTCATTCTTGAAAATCGGGCCACAAAACATGAAGTGTCTAGGCGACTGTGTAATACCGCACTTTGGGGTCAAACGCACTTTGGGGTCCAACCCCAGAGTGCGATACGCACTCTGGGGTCCAATTTCGACCCCAAAGTGCGTTAAACAGGTTCATACGCATTATTTTACATCAGATAAACGACAGCACTTTGGGGTCATACAAATTATTTTTCATTATGTTTTAAATAATATATTGTAGTCAAATCCAATGGTAAACAAACTTCAAGGTATTAAATAGACGCAAAACATGTGTCCTGAATTATAGTAGAATCAATAGGGATTTAAATGGTCTTGATCAGTAAGTGAAGAACTTTCATCAATTATAGAATTTGTATCAATTATAAAGCTCAAAATATATTTTTCCCATTTTTTCCATTTATTTTAAAAGAATGTACACCTTTCATTAACTCCATTGTTTTTAGTTAATTGCATCATTTTCCCGTTTTTATATTTACACATTTTATAGAAATATGATAGAGTTAGCATAGACAAAAGTATAAATTCTGGAAAATGTTAGAAAGACATTTCAGTAAAAAATGTGTCTGATAATATGTTAAAAGAGCCATTTATTTAGCTAAATGTAACATATAAGAAACTTGACTAGATGTAGATGCGGCTTTAAGTAGAAGTCCGCACAGGCAGTACTAAAAATATAAACTATTTTAGAAGTCGCATATTAAGAGCGGAGCTTCAGAATAATGTAAAATTCTCACTGGGGATATAGAAGGGATTGTGGGGTATCGATCCCCCGGAGGGTTAAAAATAAAAACTCATTATGCTTTTATTTGGTTTTCTTAAAAGCTTTTTTATTTTGAAGATCTTCTATAATATCCAAAAAATACGCATTGGCCAATTACCTGAACCATCGTTTTCATCTGTTGCTTTTTGGCAAGGATGAGTACAGTTATAGTGAATTAGTATTTAATATAGAAGTCTAATACTACATTGTTTTGACTACTTTATGACAAATAATTTCACATTTATTTCGCTACTTTATTCAGGTAACGAGCATCTTACATTCTCTGATACCATTATTTTAAAATGATAAAATTCATGTTTGCTCTTTCTAAAGAAGTATGTAAGATTTCCCATTTAAAAAAGCCTCTGGCGAACGGTTGTTACGGAGCTTACACAAAAAAACCTTAAGTTTGTTGATAAGCTTAATAATGTATGTGTAAAAATAACTATTTATATTTCCGATCGAAAAAACTTGATATTTAACCAGAACATTGCAATAGAGTATATTTATAGTTCTTTAGAAAAAAATTACTGCATTTTATTTCATTCCCGTCATATCTAAAATGGGCACCAAAAGTTATCAAGTAAATGACTGACAGAACGGGATATTTTTCTTTAAACCGTTACGTCAAAATGTCAAAATATTGTCAAGGAAATGGCGCCAAGATCAAACAAAAGTGCTACAAAACACTGCAAAATAGTATATTTATCATAATTTGTGTACAATTTGTATACGTTTTATCTACCGCGTTCTACAAAAAAGAAAGAAAGAAATAGTCCTCAAAGTATCTCCGCTTCGGTTTGTTTAATGTTTCTGCTCTGATGGGTCAGTAAACTAAAAAAAATAGTGGTAGGAGATATGGGAAAGTATTGTGTACAATTCTTAAACAATAAAAGGAGTTTTGTAGAGAAAAATCAATTGTTCAAAATATAAATCTAAAAATAGTCTGTTGGTGTCATGCTCGTTCTGTAAAATGTACGTCACGGTTATATTTATCACTTATATTCATTGGGCCGATAAAAAACCCATAATAAAGCCTTCATTGGTGGTATCCTAAAAATGTGTATTATTTTAAGGTCAGCTGACACTGACATCAAAAAAGAAGAAATATATTTGTTTATATTATAATACCAATGCCAATATGGATACTTAAATAAAAGTGTACTTTGCAAGACTGCTTTTGCTATACTGTATGTTTTAAATCACCGTTATATACTTATAACTTGGGTGTAGCATTGCATTTAAATAGCATACATAGAGGATATTGAATGAGTGTAGTTAAATAAATTTAGTATTGATTCTACACGAATATAATATTCCATGATATTCTATTTATCACATATATAAAATAAGAACAGTGTAACGCTAACATTAGCGTGCTTAAGCGCTATGTTTCTATATAGCGCAACTGACGTCACTTCAAAGTGTTATTACACTAGTGTAATATCGTTTTTATTTAATGGTATTATTACACTCCGCGCGCGCGGTTTATGTGATAAACGTATATACGTATCTATTTGTTAAAAAATAAGATTTTTTATCCCCTTTCGCATAGCGGTGAGGGAGAGGATTGTAGGAATGGCCTCCGACTGTCAGTCCGTCTGCCTGTCCGTCCGTCTGTCAGTCTGTCTGTAACACTTTCGTGTCCGCTCCATAACTTTTAAACTATTGAATTTTTTTATTACTTGGCACAAGTGATCACCATTATGAGACGTTGTGCGGAGCGCAATAATTGGGTTGCTACCTCCAAGGTCAAGGTCAATTGTTAAAAAGTCTACATTTCATGATTATTCATAACATTTAAACCTTTGTAATGTTTTTAAGACTATTTGGCAGAAATGATCACTATAATGACATGATGTGCAGAACCCAACTTCCAGGTTGCTATCCGCAAGGTCAAGGTTAAATGTTTTCCATAACTTTTTTACTTTATGGAAGACTTCCGTAAACATGATCTAAACATCCATTTCTTCGCAGATGACTCACAACTCTATCTATCCTTCAGACCAGTGACTAATATTTCAATTCAGGAGAATATAAACCGTATTGAAAGATGTCTTGAAGATATTGTAAGTTGGATGAATGCCAACATGCTGAAGCTAAACGGCGACAAAACAGAGTTGATCATCTTCTCATCTGAACATAACGCACAACCTGTTTCAGATGTTACAGTAACAGTCGACGGTTCGAGAATTAGCCAATCATCTAGTGTGCGCAATCTTGGTGCATTTCTTGACTCGAACATGAGGATGGAACAACATGTAAATAATGTCTGTAGGAACTGTTATGCACAATTAAGACAAATCGGTCACATCAGACCCTATCTTACTGTTAAAGCAACCAAATCTCTAGTAAATTCACTTGTTACTTCTAGGTTAGACTACTGTAATGCACTGTTATATGGAGTCTCTAAGCAGTCAATGACCAAGTTACAACATGTTCAAAATACAGCAGCTAGAATTGTGACCAAAACACTCAAATATGACCACATAACACCTATCTTACGTGAACTTCACTGGCTTCCGGTAGAGTATCGGGTCGAATATAAAATTTTGACTTATACATATAAATCCCTCATCGATCAATCACCAGCCTATATAAAAGACATGATAGACGTGTACATCCCAGTCAGAAATCTGAGGTCCCAGAATAACTCAATGACATTAGTTGTGCCTAAATCTCGGACAGTACGATATGGTGACAGGTGCTTCCAGACAGCCACAGCGAAATTATGGAACGCGTTACCACCTGACATTAGAGATTGTAATACCTTGCCATGTTTTAAGAGAGCTCTCAAAATACATTATTTCATAAAGTTCTATTGACGTTAGTTCATAAATCATCATACATGTACTACTTTTGCTATATTATCAGTGATAATTTTAATTGAGCCTTGATTTTAAACTAAATGTGTCTGTATTTCTTACCATCCTTTACTGGTTTTAGATTATCATTATTGTTTAATAGGTTTACTTAATTAATGTTGTACATTATGTCTTATATATATATATATGATTGTGTTTTATCGGATTTATGTAAAGCACCCTTGAACATTTATTATTTATGAAAAGAGTGCTATAGAAATGTGGTATATAATAATAATAATAATAACTTCAAATAACTTGGCACAAATAATTACTTGCTTATAATGTGCATGGTATACATCAATGTTATGGTTGGCTAAAAGTCAAGATCATTTCAGCTGCAGAAGGGGATTTAGCTGCCTTTCAGAGTACCTTGTTTTATTTAGTCGTCACTAAATGTGCATGTGTTAAGGGGAAAGTTGTATTAAATTGCTCAAACATTGAAAATTAAACAATAAAGATTTGTATTAACACGAGTATTGTTTTTTTTGTGATGGACTTCAAATGCATGGTATTCTTCTCTTATTTAAAAATCATTTTATCAAAATACTAGTAATTCTATTAAAATTAAAAATGCTCTTTGGGGTTTTGCGAGTGGCAATGAAAAACGTATCTTTGTAGGTAAATGTTCATTGCAGTTTCAGTAAACAAAGGCATATAATTAGCCTGGGATTCAGGCGTTGATATTTTTTGCTTATTTATAAAACACGCGCTATTTCATACTCGATCGTCATAGATAACGCACAACATCTCTGGTTTTGATAGTATCAACGTCGATTTGCCGAACAGAAGCACATAAAAAATCGACAGACTGGAACCCAGGCTAGCATATAATATGCAACTGGTTATAACAAACAAACGGCCGGGACACAAGAGAATTGATCGGGACACAATTCAATTTATTATTTATGTAAACGCTTTATTTACGCGAACTTTCATCTCCAGTTAAATGAATCAAATCATTAGATTAAAGTGGAGTAAGTCATGCGTTTGAAACACGAAACGTTTCTTTCTTTCTGTATATGTTCATATTTTGCTGGTTTTATTGCCTGCATGCATACTATCATACGGGTTACTTGTCTAGCAAAGTAAACTCAACTACATCGTCGGCTTACTCTTAAAATGTCCTAACTGCCAAAATGCTATTTTGAGAAAAACGACTTTAAACATTTTGCATCTTAATATTTTTTTCCACGTGACCCCACTGAATTGAAAATTTTCACACATCTATACTTAGGATTTTAATGCGCAAAAAAAGTGTTTATTTTTCTTTCTGGAGAAAGACTGAGAGTAAATATGAAAAAAACAACAAATTTGAGATAGAGCAAAAGGTCAAAATATTTCTTAAAAAGTCACTCTAAAAGTGCGTCATTGGAGATAGAGCAAAGTAATGCCAAAATTAAACGAAGGAGCCAGAGATACGATACTTTAATGGTAGAAATTATTACATACACAGGCTGTTTTAACATTTAAAATGCACTTATTATGCTTGTCCGTATGTGCAATTAGATTTTATTGTAAATCATTACAAGCCGTCGCAATAATTTTTCAACGCAAATGAGCGACTGGATGTTTCTTTGTATAATAGTATAAAACTTGCTGTATAAGTTATGGGAAAATAAATTCAGAAAACCGACCTAAACGTAACGTAATGCATCAAACTTAAAGTGTTACGCCTTTATGATATTGGTCCCCAGATATTTAGTCACAACAAGATAAACAATTTATAACTGTTTATCATAACTTTTGTATCATTTATAAATATGACTTCTTGTCATGACAAAAAGAAATTGATATCTTAAACATAAATACGTACTGATCGTAAGTTGCGTAACAAAGAAACATATCTTAATTATAGACAAATACAAATATAGTATTATCTAACATTTTTTCAATGGACTAAGGTTAACATTATTAAATTGTTATTTACTTTCTTTAACAATGTAAGAAAACCTGTTGCCAAGGTACTTCATTAAATCTGCCATGTAGTAGTCATTAATATTAAACGTAAATCAGCTATTCATGTGGCTTGCAGTTTTAAACATAAATGCATCAATAACATGATTCCAAAGTACAACATCAAAAAAGAAAATATATTCCAATGTCTCTTCATAACATTGAGTTTAGTAAATTTCTCAAACATAATATTAATCACCTGTAGATGTAGATGAGTATTTGATAAATTGTGTTATAGAATAATACCATGATCAAATTCCTATGATGTCTGTTTACGTAATACTATAGCACTTGCACTTATAAAGGTTTATATTTTGCACAGACTATTCATGAACATGCGATCCACTGTCGGTATAAATCGTAGCATGGTTTCTGTATCTTTTTTCTTGTCATCAGACAAACCCTTTCCACATTTTAGAATTTTAGGCAAAGGAAGTAGGTCTGCTTTAAAAGATAATTTGTTGTCCTTAGCATTGTCGCCTCTGTGTACTGGACATCAAATGACTCTTTAAAAACACTTGAAACGGCAATCCGTTCACATATTTCAATGCTTTAACTCTTATTAATGGGACAGAGTTTAATGTGAATTTCTCTGCAACCGTTTGATAGTCAAAAATCACGTCATTTTTAGTTGTATAATTACGGTTTTATCCGGACGGACTTGATTATGTTTTCTAATTAGACTTCGAGGAGTGTAAATTTCAGAAACTTTCAGCTTTTTCTCTGTATGTGAGTGAATGTTATCAATTTCCTGAAGACTGGAATGTCCACGAGTACAAAATTTCTGAACAATTTCAACCACTTCAGGATAATTTTGTTGAAATAGTTATAAAGCAGGTTGGTCATCATGCTGTTCCGGTTTTGTGGTACACAACTATCAGACCACAACGTTATTTTCTTAACAATGAGCAATGAGCCTTCAAAGCGTTTTTCTAAATAACAGTTACGGCACTAGCAAGTTCATTAGATCCTCGTCCAGCGACTTGTTCATATCATTTAACATTATATCCAACTTTTGTCCAGAGAGCAGTGACACAATAGGATAATCAATCTCAAAATCACACCAAAGTCTTGACAATTGCTTATCAAATCGTTAAATTTTCTACAAACTTTGTTCACTTTTGTCAACAGATCTTGAATGCCGATATAGCCCAAAATGTGTTATAAGGACGCGTCGGGCAACACCACGAGGTTAACTATAATGAAATTTAAATTTAAGTAGATTATAATATCAATGATTTTAGCATAGCTCACGATAAAAATGAAAAGGTAAAGTTTAACTTTAATTTACTAATTTATGTATCCGAAATATTGTTTATCCGAATTATATTTACTAGGTTTTGCAAAACTTCTTAAAATTCTGAGATTACAGTGCATTCGACATTAAAAAAGCAAATTGCAGTTACACATTCGGAGATTTTAGTTTAATATACTCACATATTATTACTTTATCTTGCTTGGAAACACAATCAATGGCATTACAAAAAATATTGACAAGAAAATTCTCTACCGGAAGTTTTGACTTAGCGCACTATTATCGCGAAAACGACCAAGGTCACCTGACCATCAGTTTGTGTTTTGATTGGCTTATTTCAGGTTTCACTATAAAATTGTCCTAAGTAACGTACATACCCTACTATAAGAATAAAACAATCATGCGAAATGTGGACATAGAGCAAAGTTCATACTCGATAACTGCGTTCCTAGGTCATCATAACCTTGAACCCAAAGCTTAAAAGATAGAGCAATGTAAGGTAAAAAGAATGGTACATTTATCTCAAATTTTGCAAAAATGGACATAGGACACTTTAAGAGTTAGGCGACGACATGTCTAGATTAAGATCTTATAATAACACTAATTCATTGAATCACACACACACCGTGTACATAACACAATTGTTCATAATTATTTAGATAGTCCATTAAAGTGTAAACTTTATAAACTGTCGTATTTTTCCGGTCTGAAATGATTACATGAATCGAGCATACAAGTGTGTTTTTATCTGTTCTACTGAGTTGACTACAGTCATAATCAATTGTTCCTAGTCATTATGTCATTTCTCTTATCTCAAAATCGGCTGATTGTTTTTTTCTTTTTATAAATTGATTTGATGGATATGTTTATAATTATTGTATTTATTTAGCATTGACGACAATAATTAATCAAAATTTAATGCTGGTAATGACTTGTATGGTATTATTTTCTAGTTACACTGTCAGACTTTAGGTGGACATTTAGCAGACATAACATCAGAAGAGGAAGAAATATATATAGAGGATCAAGTGTTCGACAGTGGTAAGTTCTTTTTAATATCATGCATGTTTTTATTATTCATGTAATTGACCAGTTAAAGTTTTAATATCTTGGCTCCACATTTTAACACACGTGAACCAATGGTCAGGGTCACAGGCCGTGAGTCATTTGCTCATTTCCAATATGGGCTCGTATTTCACTTTAGACATTGAATCTCTTCAGTAATGAAACCATTCAGCTACCCTAGAGAGTGTGAATGGATCCACCAAAAGAGCTTGCCTGGGAGTAAGCATGGAGTGGCTTTCAAATCATACAACCATGCGTAAAAGATCAGTTATATGGAAGAAATAATAACTAATTAACGCATTAAATTCAAGTAATCTTTCCGAACAACGTTCTCCAGTTCTGCATTAAACATCGGTATTTTGTGATGTTTTGGCTGTAACCTAAAAGCCCATTATGCCCCAGAAATTATACCATTTTTATTTCTCAAAGGCTTTGTACTTTTTATAGTTTTTAACCTGTTACTCGTTGGTCAATTACCTGAACGAACATTTTCTTCTGTTGTATTTTGCTAATTAGAATAGTTATAGGAATTTAGCATTTTGTATGGATGTCAAAATAATTTGTTTACATTTTACTTCTTTTATTACAAATGTTTTAACATTTAGCGCTATTTCTTTTAGGTAACAAACATCTTACATGCTCCAAAACCATTATTAAAACATTCATGTTTGCCCTTTCTAAGGAGGTAAGAATTTGTTCGTTTCTAAGGCATAATATGCCTTTTCTTAAAACACCTAATAATTTTTTAATATAGATTTTAAAAATGTAAATTTTTATCGTTTCAGACTATAATAGTTCCACCTGGATAGGAGCATCGCGCAACACAAGTGGAGGAATATTTTACTGGGAAGATGGTACACCAATCTCTGACTATTTCGTGAAATGGGGACCATTTCAACCATGGGACGACCCAAACGAGAAGTGCGTAGTGCTGCTGAGTTCGGAGAATGCATGGTCTTGGCACGATTATGGTTGCCATAACGTTTTCCGGAGCTTGTGTGAATTTGACTAGTTTTTTTTTTTGGACGAAGTCCGTCTGATATCGGTTTGACTGCCTGTACAATTTTACAGAGAAGAACTAAATATCCAAAGGATTTTAAAATCCAGGAATCTCATTGTCCATTCTATAATTAGTGTAATTATCTAAAAGGTCTTTCTGAAACATATATATACATGTCCAAATTATAGAGTACTCTAAAGGAGTATCAGAAACAAACTTTCTAGTTAAATGTCTCGGATATTTGAAATCTGTGAACTTCCTCCCAAAAAATATTTAACACTGCTTTAAAAAAATCAGTTATTAACTCGTGAATATCTTATTCAACATATGAATTTACCGAGTTATAAATGAATGACATTCTAAAATGAGGAGACTACAAAATTGAATAATGTCCACGATCCCAGAAAAAATATGTGCATACCGAAATAGACCATATAAAAGCAGTTTTACCAGTTTTTTTAAAGATACTTCTTGTTACAAATGTACGATAACTAAAAAAAGTGTTCTTGCAGATTGATGCAGCTATATTGAATTTGTGTTGTTGGTTTTTTTAATCATATTCTTTAGTACCTGTAAGTTTGCTCCATTCACTTTACGTACTATTTATAGTGACAAGTTCGGACAGAAAGAACAAAAATGTATTTTATATTGTGATTCATGTAAAACCATTACATAATTAAAGTGCAAATATTCGAGAAGACGTGTTATAAAATGGTTAAATGTTAGAGTACATGTACCTTAATTACAATGTAATTGGTTATACTTGGTCTCCATTAGATCTTAATAAGGTGGATCCAGTGTCTTGTGAAGTCCGGGTTATGTAAAATATACCCAGATGAAATACAGTGTCCGGATTAAAACACTCTTAAATTTACTGTTTTTGTCTCCTCAATAATTAAATTGACGATATCTGGAGAGGAAATGATATAAGTATTGTTTTACTTGCTTTCAAATCCAATCTGAACTTCTTTGTTGTGAAATGTTTGTAATGTACAACTTATTCAATAAATAAAGTTATCTAAATTGACGATATCATTCAGTAACTACACTGTATATTCTTTGACAATGCTTATCAATTTTGGGTCATCCCTTAACAAGAAAAATAGTCATTCTGGAAAAACGGAGTGAACGAATGAACACAAGTTATGTGTCTAGACGTACATCAAATGAAATAAAAAAATGCCAATCCCATCTTGTAAAAAAACTTAGTTGAGTCCCTATAATATACAAGTGTCTACATATTTTACAACAAAATTCAGGCTAAATACTTGCAAGATAGGGTTTAAAATTCTAGTTGATATCTAAAAAAAAAATCAAGGGTTTCAAACACGTCTATATAGTTTCCAGGAAAATCTCAGTCCTTAACACATGCAAAAGCGTTAAATGAAAGTTTTTCTTTGAACATTACTTCTGGTTTATTTTTGGGTGCACATTTTATTATACACGTTTCTACAAGTCCGATAAAAAACATGCACTTGATTCCCATTAAAACCATTGCTTAATTTATGTTTGTCACCAAAACATCAGTCCAAATCCGTATTTTACTTGCATGCACGAATAACCGGGGCGGTATAATCGATTGTCCAACTAATTAGACTTTTCAAACAGACATTGAGATATGTTTTTGATGGATGATGCCTTTTCAGTAGGAAAATAACAGTGTTAAAAAAGACTATGGTTTCTGATTATATGATTAAATGTATTATGAAAACCTAGACGTGTTGATACGAGCAAATAAAATATTTACAATCCTCCAATTCAGAACAACTAATGCGTATTAGATGAATTGACAACAACATCACATTAAAAGTGAAACTGAATTTTAAATGCATGCACATGCATACAGTCTATTTACACGATGACAAATAAAATATGGGGATTCGGAAAAGGTTATCTTATTACGAAAGTAGTATCACATAGAACATTTCCGAAATCATTGGCCCAAACATAAGCTTGATAAATTAAGCCCATATCATTCTAAAGCTTCGATTTCAAATTTTAACACAAAGTCTTAATTTACAGATAAAAAAATCTATTAAATTATTGATGGTCCAAATAATTATTCTTCATGACAGATCTGACATCAGTGTTGTATGCATCAAATCAATAAATAATAGTTAAGGCTAATGCAATAATTTATCATAAAGGTTATTGTCATATAAAGGTCAGATTAAGTTTAACGGTCTAAAAGGCATTTTCCAAAGGGTTATTTTGTCAATGAATAAATACAATTAGGAGCACTTTAAGAATCTGTCCACAGGACAATCCGTGCTATAAAATCCAAACCCTAGCCACATAACCCCATAACCTATAACCCAAGAAGTAATCTGAGTGATTTTGTAGAAATAATCTGATAGTATTCAATACATGGGTAAAATCATACTGTCAAGAATTGCTGCGGACAGATTCTAAAGTGTAGCCTACAATTCATCTAATTTTTACCAATTTACAACATTTTTAGCAAAATTAAAGGATTTGACCTTGTAGGTCAATGTCATTTAAAGGTCTATGTCAAATTTAGACATGTGCAAGTAGATTTCATGCTTATTAAGACCGGTCACTTTTTTATCAAAATATGTGGAGGTTTCTGAGAAGCACACATAATAAGTGTGTCTACAGACACCCAAAAACCAGTTTTACCATCCAACCCTGCCTCACCAACCTTACAAATTTGTTTTGCAAGAGGTATAGCAAACAAAACATAGAAAACTTTTCATATAAATAGCACATTTAATGGTCATTTCAATTTTCATACAAACTGAATTAATATCAGGATTTAATCCTATACATAACTACAATGCTTTATAGATCAGTAATTCTACTTACCAATGCTTTCTAGATCTGTTATTGAAATTATAAATGTTTTATAGATTTGTTATTCACATTATCAATTCTTTATAGATAAGTTATTCTAATTATCAATGCTTTATAGATCTGTTATTCTAATATCGATTCTTTTTAGATTTGTTATCCTAATTATCAATACTTTATAGTTATTCTAATTATCAATGCTTTATAGATCTATTATTGTAATTTCCAATGCTGTATAAATCTGTTATTGTAATTATCAATGCGTTATAGATTTGTAATTCTTATTATCAACGCTTTAGAGATTTGTTATTGTAATTATCAAGGTTTTACAGACATGTTAATCTGATTATCAATGCTTTATAGATTTGCAATTCTTATTATCAATGCTCATTCTAATTTTCAATGATTTATAGATATTTTATTCTAATTACCAATGCTTTATAGATTTGTAATTCCAATTATTATTACTTAATAAATTTGAAATTCCAATTATCATTGTTTTATAGATTTGTAATTCTAATTACCAATGCATTCTAACTAAAAGGGTTTTTGTCACAAAAAACATATGTCTTTAGTTCCGCGACCCCGCCGTTTTATTTTTAACTCCTACGTAGGATACATATCAAAGTGCTGAAAGCACAGAGTGCGACTAAAATGTTACAAATATATGCTAGAGTATAACCTAGGATAGTATATTATGTAGGAAAATAAATTATATGTGTCAAATTGTAATTGTGGCAAGCCGCTTTAGTAAATACCCTTATTCTGTAGCCAGAGATGATCTTGAGTGAAATAACCAGAACTCAATAATCTGAATTATTTTGAGCAATACAACTAGTTCCGAAAATTGAACTTACTAAAGATGTTATACTCTACAAATGATCAATTCATCTTTTAAATGATGATTCTGTATTAAGTACGTTAGTTATGTTGATTATACAAAAATTCATGGGTGAAGCTTTGTTCACTTTTAAACTTATGCATGCATATTGCTCCGCAAAACGCATTTTTTCGGAGCTGGAAAATGACACTTCACATCCCCGCCCCTATAAAGATTAAATTTTTCGAAACGGTTGAAAATGGAAAATTGCTCGTTTAATTCAGCTAGTTCGTATGGAAAATGTTATCTTTAAAGCCTTTTAAAATTTTGATGTACGTGTATTAATATCTTAGACACGTAAATGCTTGTTGCCGAGTAAATTTTTGGAAGAGCTGTGCTGTGAAGCAATTTTTCGGGATAGATGCTTACAAAGACACTTCACACTCCAGAAACCTGAGGGTGAAGTGTGGCGGCATGACCAAGTGGTTAACGCGTCGGACTTGTCATCTAATGATCGCTAGCCGCATGAGTTAAACCCCGTCAGGGGCAAGCCGTAGTTACCCTGATCAAGAAACTTTACACTCATTTCTCAGTACTAGTTGGTTCAAGAAACGGATTCGAAAGTGTGTCTATAAGCTTATAGCTTCCTACACAATCGAACTGAAATAAATTCTGTATAAACCAAAGGTGAAGTGTCCTCAATATTTCAGATTTGAAATTTCGGCGGGGGATTAAGTATCTTGTTCCATCGCCGATATACCGGTCCGTAATGTTGAGATTTGCAAAGCATTCTGTATGTATTTCTTATAAAGTCATAAAGTCCTATATAGGAGATACAAACTCCTAACTCCCATTATTTAAACATAATAAAACTCGTGTTTGTCATTTCAAAAGAACGAACAATTTATTCGTTTCTGGGACATAATGTGCCTTTAATATAAAAGAAAACAAAACAAATATGATTTTAAATCTCCGTTTGATAAAACAAAAGCATGGGGAGAAATTGAAAGATAATTCAATAGTTTTAAGTTATTACAGAGTAGCAAAACAACTGAAAAAATGTTGGAAAACCTGGAAGACAGGACGAAAAAAGGGAAGCTTAAGAAAGAAGTGAAAGGCTTCTGACAGGCATTTAAAACTAAACAAAATGTAAAATTTCAATAAGTAAACTTTAATTTGAAAGAAGCATCCAATATTTTACGTCAATGGAAAATCTTTTCAATACATATTTACGATTTTTTCTTAATCATATTATACCATTTTATAGGCTCATTATGCCTCAGAAATGATATAATTTGTATTTCTAAAAAACAATATTTTCTTTGTATCTTGTTTTAAAACATTGTTTTTTGTTGATATTTTTCTTGCAAAGGGTATAATCGTAGTGCATTGCCATTTCGTATGGAGATCAAAATACTGCAATGTTTACATTTTTTCTACAATAACAATACATTACTGTAATAAAGTGCAAATTTATAAAGTTGTTAAACATCTTACACATGATTATTAAACCATTGTTACACCCACTTTTCTAAAAAATTAAAAAAAAATAGTTCTGAGGCATAAGTGCCTTTAACAAGACTGTTCAATTTAATTTATTTAAACAGTGTGATAGAACTTGTATCTAATTACCATTTTTCAATATTTCATAAACAAAACAATAAATTACTAAATGACATTTGTTTATATTTACATAAACAACATTTATATAGGCCTATATTTAGACGCATACGACAAATCATCCGGGGATCATCGACAGAAACATCGACGGTCACATTGACAAACACAGCAAATTTGCATGGATAAAACTATTTCAAGAAATTTCCAACTTGAAATCGTAAAAATTCACTTCTTTATTGGTACCCCGCGAGCTGAATACACTCTTAATAGTTTATACTACATGTATATCATTCCGTCTATAAAATGTGCACACTCCTTCGATAGTCGAAACTTTTGATGAAATTCAACTTCTGAAATAAATTTAATGGGACCATCTCTATCGCTAGATATCTGTTTTTCAACATTTATTTTCTGAAATACTGCCAGTTCCTGTATATGATGCACTTAAATGTACATGTGTATGGGACCAAAATAATTCAAAACTAAATGGTATTCAGTATACTTTTATTGAGGACACTTCAAGGTAGCCCCCTCCTAATCTAACAAATTCTCAACTTACCTTAGTTTACTCGAAACTGACTGTATCACGGTGTCGGAACCATATGTGGATCTTATAATTGAGCATCGGGAATTTCCGCTGCTCCAGATGTGCGCTTTAAATAACTCGAAATGTGAAAGAGAAAATAGTTTAATCACAGGGTAAGTTTCAACATTTTAAACAAATAAAATTCAAGGTTTTTATAAGAAAATCGAAATGTGATTCTACCATCCTGGATTTTCTTTATATTTGCCTATTTTCGTTTGGATTTTATTTTATTTATCGAGATATATTTCCGTAGTGGGTTCTGGTGTGTCCAAAATATGCAATACCTATGAAAAATATATCGCTCAACGGACTCAAAATACAGAGTGTTCACAAAATCTTACCACCAAACAATGATTAACATTCAAACAAACACTTATTGAGATTGGTTTCAAAATAAAGGAATTGCTGGTCAAAATTTCATCTGAGCTCCATATGTGCTATAGAGATCCATAGGTAAAACCATTTACAAAACTACGGATCACTTTCATATAGTAATTGAATAGCATATTTAAAGCAACAAGTCAAGTTCCGTATCTTTGCCTGAAAGTGCATTAGTCTGTGTGTTTGGTTATTTAAAATCACTACATCAATAGGTTAACTATCTGGTGCTAGCAATATACATTAATTCGAAAAACCTAAAAACAAATACCGAGTATATAAGCGAATGCTTCTGGTATGACAAATAATTTCCCACTTGGACAAGATTAGACAGCTCTCTGTTAATCTATTGTTTCATATACCTTTCCCTAAATTATTTAAATTGGTATAGATAAAACTTCACTTCAAGATTCCGCAAGTGTATTTAATAGAATTTCATTGACAGGTACAAGTATTTTCTTATTGATTGCCATGCAGAGAATTGCAAGTAAACCTCTTCATAAAAACTGTTAAAGGGATATTCAGGCAAAATAATGACAAAAATATTAAAATGATCTTATGTACTCAAATCACGCTAAAATGACTTTTCTTGAAGTTTCAGCGTGAATTTCTGTTTAAATTCTATATATTCTGGGTTTGAAGCGTAAATATATCTATATATGTTGAACAAAATTTATACGCCAATAGAATCACCAAATAGTTTTTAAACAAGTCAGGTGACTTGAACAAACCAACAGATATTGTGGATATTGTATGACTGAAACAAGCCTAAGTCATTCATTTGACATGTTCTTTAACGTTTCCAGAGTTCACTTTGACAACTATTGTGAAATGCTAGCGCTCTAACCTGACCCACGCGGGTCAAGTTAGGAAACCACCATTTTATTCTTAATATGGAGCAAAGACCTTCTAATATATTCATTTTCAGGGCATTTACAGAATAATGAATGAAAAATTCAAAACTAAGAAATGAAAATTTTGCCTGTGTCTCCCTTTAAAAACTGTTTTGAATTAATAAAATTCTAAGCCTTCCAAATATAATAGCGCCGAAATGAAAGCAAATCATTTGGATACAAATGAACACTAATCTTAAACACAAGCAATGATAGTTCGACAAATAACGAATGAAAAACAGACAAAAAATAATTTAATGTGTATTACGTTACCTTTTATTCGTAGTTTAATGAGATGATAGCTAAGAAGACTACATGTACATCATTCATTTTTTCGCCTTTTTATATTTTTTTATACTTTGCCTGACTTTTACATTAAAAGATATGCGGAGATGAGATCGACTTTGTTAATTAAAGTTCTAATACAAATCTTATTGACAGTTTTTGTCTTGTAAAACTGCTGCCATAAGACAGGTGTCTCAAATATGGTCAAATAACAAACAGTTAACATGCTATCAAGAAAGGTAATTTATACTAACTCCAATAAACAATATAACTTGTGTTGGGGAAGTGGTAATAAGAGAAGCAATATTTCAGATAACAAAAATGATGCCATGAAATACTAAAACAAATTTAATATGTAAAGAAAATTGCACTCTTCATATGTGTTTACAAAATATAATAAGTAATTGGTACAACAAGAACAAATATATCAAGTTTCATTCAAACACAAAAAATATCTGTACATTATTATACATGTTTATCAAATAACATGACAAGAAAATAAATGTTAGGAAAAAGTCCATTTAAATAGAGAATATTTTAAGTTATGAAAGTAAAATGTACATTACTTGATTGATGATTACACTACTATGTTCTTACAAAGCAAGAATGCAAATACATGATTTTTATGTTATTTCTAGTCCTTTCATTGTAATTGTATGCTGGTGGGGGGATTTACATTGTAATTGTTTATTTATATTCAGAGACGTCTTTTGAAATTATTATTACACTAGTCACTGAAATACACTTAAATTTCCTATATATGTAGGAATTCTAATAAATATGTTTATTACTCCTTGTCCTCTTCATTTGTTACTTTAAAAAAAGACATAACAGAACTTTTTGCAAGAGGATTATAGGTATACTGTTATTAGCAAGGTGTTCTGAATGTGTCCCCTCATTCAAACTGAATAATCAACATAATCTCTAACAAGGAGATTCTGAATCCATTTGTTGATTCATAAAAAATACCATAAACTAAAAAAATGTCAAAATCTCTATAAGCCTTTGATGTATGGTACAATTGATTCCTTGCAGAAATGTCTGACAGGAGGTTGTAAGTTAAAGTATGTGTTAATTTTTGTTTTGTAAAGTCTTCATCAAGTTGCACATGTCTCCAAATTCTTGGATGATATTGACATCCATCTTGCGTAATCAGGTCCCTGAAAAATACAGAAGAATTGGTATAAATGTTGAAATTCTAAACAAAAATGCAATAAAGTCTGAAAGTCAAAAAATATGTAATGAGAAAGCCGAGTAAATGTAAAATAATTTATCTTTAGTTATAAAGTACAAATAGCAGATGTTGTAAATATTAATGTTAACACCAAATACATATGTTCATATAAACACTAAAACAAACATTGTTCAAAACAGAAAGAAATAAACACAAGTATTTCCTTAAATATATGATCATTCAACATGTTTAGCATTTTCGCATTTACTTTTGAACCACCACATTCTCTTTTTATTTGTTTTTATTTGGTTTTACATCACACCGACACAGTATAGGTCATATGGTGATGTTACAGCTTTACTGGTGGAGGAAGACCTCAGGTTACTACTCTTCCGTGCATTTTTTTCAGGAACAAACCCATACCCGAGTAGAACCAATGACATTCCATAAGCTAGCTTGATAGCTTCCTTACATGAGAGAATTCAAAGTCCCTGTCGGGACTCGAACCCACAGCGGTAAGGGGCAAGTGGTTTGAAGACAACAACATTAACCACTCGGCCATGGACACTCATGCCACATTCTCTTGTTACAGAGGAAATTATCTGAGAGGGCATCTTACTTCAAAGAAAAATTACGACATACCTGCTTCACTTTTACCTCCACAGTTCCCACAGTACAAATAACCTGCTGGTAAACCTCCTTTAAATTTGCTGTATATCATTCCCCCACCATTCTTGAAAGAACTTGCCGTCACATATGTAGGACCTTGCATTGTACACAACACATTCTTTTATCTGTGTTTAAAATTCAAAAGTTAAATATCATTAGCATTACGCAAAGAATTTTTAATTTGTAAGAGAATTGCTCACCTTGAACCTATTTTGATTCTTCAATGCAGATGTATATGTAGGTCATTGATATAGAGAGATGGGCTTTGAAGACATTTTATCTTTTTATGGTCTCTGTAAGTTATAGTGCAATGCCATCATGCATCATTTAATTTGGACCAAATATGAATGCCATGAGTATTGAATATAATACTTATATTGAGTAATGAGCAACAGTATTTGCACAACAATGCCACTAAATTGTTCATACAAGTTAACTTATTTTTCCAAAAATGACGAGCTATAGATATGCAGAACATACCATATAAGTGTATATATAATTAGTTATAAAGATCGTTGACAGGTTATATGGCCCTATATAAACGGCTATTTGTAAATATAACCCAAGCCGTTAGGCGAGGGTTATATTGCAAACAGCCGTTTATAAACAAGCATCATGTTTATAGAAAAAAAGTAAGATTTCTGCATGAATCAACAGCAGCTGTGTATATAAAACTATATAAACGTCACGATTATCCAAAGAAAAATGACGTTATAAACGTGCAGTATTATAAGTATACATATAAGATGCATATATGGCATGAAGGACCAGAACCAGGGTTTCAGGTTCGATTTCATGTGTACCGAAATTCATTATCAAATCTTTTACAACCAAGGCAGCATTTATTATAGTCATTCAATAGATTTAAGACAGTTCACCCCTCAGACACTTCATCCTAAGCCATTTTTTGCAGACACCCCAACCTTTTTTGTTGGAATTTGATTGAAAAACTTCAGTCACCCCTCATTTTTTTAGTGTTTAACATACATGTACATTATAAAGTGAAATATGGAGATATAATCAATGGTGATTAAAAAAGGTAATTAAATATAATTTGAAAGACCCTGTGTGCAGCAACAAGAGCAGCACTACCAAATCACAAATGAACTAGTTATTTAGTTTGCTCATTGCTAGGCCTAATATAATATGACCTACATGTAATATTCTCACAGATAACGCAATTGTATTTTGTCTGGGACTAAAAATACAGTTAAGTTCCAGATTTTTTATAAAACTTCAAAATAATCGTCATACCCCACCCACTACTTTGGTTCATTTTTAATTAAATTAAGCAAATTACAAATAAAGAAATTATGGATACTCACTTCCTCATGTGTGATAGTTTTAGAATAAAAAAACTTCTCTCTTCCTAATGTGTAATAATTAAGAAACTTCTGACTAGATGTTTGACAATTCCCTAACACTTGTTGTTGTTGTTGTTATTTATAAATGTAAACTTCTGGAAGGAGGAGTGACATTTGCATTGACCAATGAAAACATTTTACAAATCCCGCTCTTTGGATATGAATATTAATGAAGCTAACGACGGAAAATTGTTCAATTCAGTTCAATTCTGTCACTTCACCGGTATTGTATCTATTTTTACACACCTCCTCTATTGTTTGTGACAGGTCTATATTTTTCGGATAGACCTGTTTAAACAAAAGAAAGTCCGTTATGAGGTCTATCTTTTGCACGTGCACAGGTCTGTTCTAGTCAGACAGACCCGGTCATGAAATACACGTGAAAAAATAGACCTGCAATGCGCAGACAAAGAAAACATGAAATGCAATCAAAAATAAAAAAATGAAATAAATTGTAAATGATTGTCATAATATTCCTGTCTTACAAAATCGGTGAATGCACTAAGCAATTATTCCAGCATCCCTATATCAAATCTTTGACTAAAAATAATGGATAGCATATCAAAGTTAGGACAAATTTTACATTTATTTAATCGCCTCATTTTTCAAAGAAATAGTAATCTAAGTGGTTCTTCTGTCATTAAGTTCACAAATATAACAAAATGGACGCTTCAAGTTCATATCTATGAAACTATATAGCAGTAATCACAGCATACTTATAACGATTTTAAAAATGTTAATAAAGTTATAAGTGATTTACTGTACGAATTTTATCATGAACGATCATATTTTATTCTAGAACACTATATAATCTGCTAAATAAAATATAGTTTCGGTTCATGTATCTCACACTTGCCAACAATATACATATGTAAGTCTGTCGTGGTCTGCTGGGTATCCGGACATTGCCCTTCGGACAGTTGCCCGCTTTTTGCAGTGGCGGTCGTTTTCCCACATATATCTTTGGAAGGGACGGACATTTGCCCCCCCCCCCCCCTCATCTTGTTTTAAAAATGTTAAAATATTTTATTGTTTAATTGTTTGCTACATGTAACAAAATTCATCGCCTATTGTCGAAATTTCATTGTGCTTAAAAACACAAAAAACTTTGGTGCAAATTTGTGAAGTTCAAAAAAGGATCTATATATAAACGAACTATAATGTTTCCATTGGCAAACAAAAAATCTATACACGAGATGACAAGTGACAAGTCACAACAACAAAAAAGGGACAATCGTCCGGCGGGGGCAACTGTCCGGGGGCAAATGTCCTAGAATCTGCATTGTCTAATACTATCAACATAACATTCATTCTATAACACACCTTCCACTACAGTTCACTTTATTATTGACAAATTGCACATTTAGCTTTTTTATTATTTTTATTATTTAAACTATATATTGTATTTAAAAGCTTACCTGTATATGAATAATATTTGTGCATTACATCAAATGCTTCGGACCAGCCATTGCCCTAGCCAATATAGTTTTGCGGTGTGTAAGTTGGATATCGGCCTCGTACATAGGAAAGACCTGGTCACGCATTTCATGAAACACCTCGAGCGCTACGCGCTCTCGGTGTCACATAATATTCGTGACCAGGTCTTTCCTAAACAGAAAGACCTCGTACTCGGTCGATATCCTATACTTAGTAACTTTCCGGCCGAATGAAAGTTTTCATTCGGCCGGAAAGTTACTAAAAATAGATACAATACCGAAGTGCGTATTAGAACAGAACAGAACAGTTTTCCGTCAGGTAGTTTATCTTATGGCGGGTTTTCTAAGGGCGGTATAGCGGAGTAGTGTTTACTTTACAATGTAACGGCGGGTCAATTCGGCGTTAATTAATTGAAAATTAACAGCGGATTATGGATTGATCTAACGGCGGGGCGGGTATTTATAACGCCGGGGCGGGTATTTAAACGACAGATTTCCGTCAGTTTCATTTTAACAGCGGAATCTTTCGGCCGGACAAGTATACCGGCGAAATAGATAGCTTATGGCGGAGCGGGTATTTCTAACGGCGGATTTCCGTCATGAGACATTTACATTGGATTATATAGTAACGGCGGAAGGGTCCCATACCGCTTTCCATAATTTAAACGACAGATTTCCGTCAGTTTCATTTTAACACCGATTTCCGTCAGTTTCATTTTAACAGCGGAATCTTTCGGCCGGACAAGTATACCGGCGAAATTGGATAGCTTATGGCGGAGCGGGTATTTCTAACGGCGGATTTCCGTCATAAGACATTTACATTGGATTATATAGTAACGGCGGAAGGGTCCCATACCGCTTTCCATAATTTAAACGACAGATTTCCGTCAGTTTCATTTTAACAGCGAAATCTTTCGGCCGGACAAGTATACCGGCGAAATAGATAGCTTATGGCGGAGCGGGTATTTCTAACGGCGGATTTCCGTCATAAGACAATTACATTGGATTATATAGTAACGGCGGAAGGGTCCCATACCGCTTTCCATAGTTCTTTTATATAGAAAATCCATTGAAGCAGAAAAAATGCGCCGTACGTTCTCAGATATTTTGTGCGCCATACGTAATCATTTCCGAAAAATGTCCCGGCAGTCATTCTAGCCAGAATGGGCATGAATGCTTAGATGACGACATATTGCAACTTTTTAAAGTCATTGGTTTCAGTTAATATATATACATTTGTGTATATGTAAAAAAACAGTGAATTTTAGAGAAGCCGTACGTTACCACGATCAAACCGTTGGAAAATTCTCTCGCCGCGCATTTCGGATGAAGTACGGGACAAAACATCATTAAATAAAAGCCCGTGTGCCCCGAAAGTTGTGAAGGTTTTTATATGTACTTTTACGCTAGAACGCCAAGAATTTCGGAGAAAAAAAGGGAAAAACTTACTTTTCGACCACATCCGCCATCTTGTTTGTTTGGTTTACGAACGGCGTGATTCTCTATTTGTGTCAGGCAAAAGGCCTTTCAAAATTAATTCATCATTTAACACATTTGATGTGGGGTATGATGTATAGGATTCACTTTGTCGCGTTAAAATTACCAAACTTTCAAATTCTTACTTAAACTAAATATTTATTATTCTTAACACACTTTAAATTTTACAAAATACCTACCATTAACAGTTAAACTTGAATGTACACATATACGTTTAACGTCGTTTCATATAAAAAGGGAGAAACATTACCTACATAAATCATTTTAAAACATTTTTATCAATTTTTACAATTAAAGGGAGGTAATTAGTGGCGAGGTCGAAATACTTGTCAGTATTTCAGTCATATAGGCGGGTAGTTTCCTAACCATCGTTCCTGGAGAGTTACACCAGTACAAGACTACCTTCCTCCGCGCTAAACTACCAAAGCTTCTCCCGGGGATCGAACCCACGCCAGAGAGGTAACTGAATTAGAAGTCATCGACTCTAACCCCTCGACCACGGAGGCGGTACATTTTATAGAATGCAAGGCTAAAGTCAAAATATATTGACTGTATGGTGGCTGATTTGGAACGTTTTTGTGCATCGTGTTGTCGCTAGCGACAGAACGACAAAGCGCCAACCGGCGCGTTGTCGGGCTTTCGTCTTGTCGCTAGAGACAGGACGACAACGCGACAAGACAAATTAATGTACACTATTCTGACACTCGAATTAGAGCGAACAAAATGTGTACATTAACAAGCGCGTCGTGGAGATTAAGAGGAGACGACTTATTACTCGTGGCCACGACATAGTAGCTCGTGCCCACGACTTAATTATCTCGTGTCCACGACTTATTAACTCGTGGCCACGACATAGTATATCGTGCCTACGACTTAATTATCTCGTGGCCACGACTTAGTAACTTGTGGCCACGACATAGTATCTCATGCCCACGACATAATTATCTCGTGCCCACGACTTCACGGTGTCAAAGGTATACGCATCATTTTTCCGCGTACCGTCGAAAATTTATCATCCTGCGCGCAGCACCGTATCATTTTAGACAAAACTACTCTCCTGCGCATCGGTCGAATGTTTCACTAACGCTCACTAAACACGTAAACATAACATGCATGATGGAAAACGGCCTGAAAGTCACATTTTTGAAGTAAGTGTATTCATAAAAGTGTGTCTACGGAATATTATGATCATTGAAGCTTATGTCTTTAGCTAGTTTTTATCAAAGACTTTTACGATTTCTTTGTTTTAATGAAAACAGCTAGAGCTGGCTTGGGAAAAATGAGCATTTGAAAAACTTCTAAAAGAGATAATTATGTTGTCACTCAAAGTATTTATTTAATATAACTGATAGCGTCAAAGATATATATACACAGACTCTTGCACACAAATTTAAGCTGTTTAGTTTCTTAAAAAAGTCATAAAAGTGTGACAACTGACCGAGTTCTTGGTACCGTATCATGGGTCCGCACCGAAAATTGTGGCACCGTATACATTAGCGCTAGACTTGCACCGCATCATGATGATTAACCTAATGGTGAAAAAATCTTATTTGTATTTATTTATTGTTGCCCATCTGGGCGAGGCCTGTAGATGTATATTTATTATTTTTGAACCAGTAGAAGCAAACCTGTTTTTTTTGTGTGCCCGGCGTAAACACGTGCGTTTATTATAGTGGCAAATTGTTAATGGCATACATTTTTTTAAGTCATTTTGTAATTTACTTTGTTTTTTTTTAGGTTAAGCGATTCTTTTTTACCAAGTTAAAATACATGAAATTAATATCGCTTATCATATAAATAAATATCTCAGAATTTCTAAAAACCACATTTACTTACTATATTACCATTAAGCCAACAAGATAGACCTTCAGGGAAGGACCCTAGATAATGTGAGTATAACTTTTGGTCCAACCCTTTTGTATGTACATTATATTTTAATATGCTTAAGATATTGATGTTAGATTGTGTAAATTAATCATGTACAAAATATGCAATAAAATATTATAAAACTAAAACACGTGGGACCGCGGTCATATTCGAAAGAATTCGAGTCGATACTTTATTATTAAGATCGGTTCGATTAACACAACCAGAGTGCAAATTGCTAACATTTTTGTACATGTAAAGAAGCAAGTTTTTAGTGAAAATGTTATGTATATTTACCACAAATATAGATATTTAATTGTCACCATTTCATACATACTCTTTGAGATAGTGCTTACGGTGAGAGTTTCTAAAAAACAAGATTTTCAAGCTTTCTACTCAATCCGTGGGATTTAATATTTGTCAGTTATCATGTAAA